CATGCCGAAAACGCCAAGTGCATGCGACAAGTCAGACAAGATTCGTCCACCTCGATGGCACAGTGGCTACGATGCTCGGCTGTGGAGGTCAAGGGTTTGATACCAGACGTGGTAGTCGAATTTTGATGGAGGTGAAATGGCAGAGACACGGGCATGGTGCTATGTCAAGTGCTCGCGAAAGAACACCAGATGGTGGAAACTTTTAGAGCCCTCCACTAGGATGTCTCTCATAATTATATATCGGGGTTTTAGGACGTTAAACCCTATGTATTATTACCAATACTAGGCAAGACGCATCTCACACCGAAAAGACGCACGCCGCTAGAATGGAAAGCTTGAAGAAAGCACTGGCAGGATTCCATAATTCAACGAAGTTATGCGCCTTACTTTAGCTTTTATATAATTCTTTTTTCCCCTTCACGCCGTGTTTTACACAGTTTTGGTGATCATCTGCTGTTCCCGGATCGGAATCGCTCGTTAATATTTAAAGCCCTAGATGTCATATCAAACGCGGGAACCGACTGTCGGCGTCAACAAGTGATGCAAATAATCAGCACTTGATGAAGACGCCACCGTATGAAGTGACCTTGACGTTCCTGATTGGAAAGATTCGTTACATCACCATGACGTCATCATGATATACTACGCCGTCAAATGACGTGACGTTACGTCATGGCATCATTGTCGCTTAGTCAAAGGTGGGCCGACCACGGAGGCAGTGCTCAGATGCAGGAAGCTATGAGTTGGGAGGCTATATATCGACTGAGAGGAGTGAAAAAAAATGCCTATCGGTTTTGAGTCGTCTTAGGTGAATGCATGTGAGCATCACTTGAGTGAACATAGTCAGTGAAGCCTGGGAGTTTCTGAAAAGGTATACTAGAAACTACGTTATTGCAATGACATTTCAAACCAGGGCGTGCATCAACACGTGCTTCTTGCGTTATTCTAACGGGTTTACACATTATAGGGGGGGGGATAGGACAGCGTTCAAGCGTACGGGGTGAAAGTAGCTATTATACAACGCAAGCGCCGCATTCTCAACTGGTTATTTATTAGAATGTACAAGTGTACAAGCAACACGGTGCTTGTGTTATTTTATACCTGCTTTCGTCTCGTCCGTTCGTGCGCTGTTCACAACTGGTCCTTCAATAGAATATGCAGGTATACAGACAGCACGGCGCTTGTGTTGCTTATATACCTACCTTAATCTCGTCCCTTCATTCGCTCTTATTAACTGGTCTATTATTAGAATATGCAGGTACACAGACAACACGGAGCTTGTGTTGTCTCACACCTACCTTCGTCCAATCAATTTTCGCACTGTTCTCAACTGGTCAATTATTAGAAAATACAGGTGCACAGACAACATGGCGCTTTTGTTGTCTTTTATGTATACCTTCAACCTGTTAATTTTTGCGCTGTTCTCAACTGGTCAATTATTATAAAATATACAGGTATACAGCGCGTGTGTTGTTTCATACGTATACTTTCATCCCGTCAATTTTTGCGCTGTTCTCAACTGGTCAATTATTAGAATACACAGCTACAGAGACAACACGGTGCTTGTGTTGTCTTATACCTACTTTTGTCCTGTCTTTTCGTGCACTGTTCTCAACTGGACAATTATAAGAGCAGTCAGGTATACAGAAAACACGGCGTTTTTGTTGTAATAAACGTATACCTTCGTCGCGTTCGTTTGGGTGTTGTTTTTTTACCCCTCCCCCCATTACTCCATCACCCACTAAACCAAGTTTCAGTCTTGATTGAGTTTACACAGACTTGTATGCACTCTACACAAGACAGAAGCATCTAACGCGGGCTTACCTGCATCTCGGCAACGGGAAATAGGGAGCCGACCGGCTGGACCAGCCCTATGATGGCCAGACTAGGATGCTTCAAATGAGGCGGGAATTCGTACTTGTAAAGCTGCACTTGGTTGTCCTCCACAGACACAACTTCTTTCGGTAAAAATGGAAACTTGATCTGGTAACCCGTGGCCAGGATGATGTCATCCAAAGGGGTAACCTGAAACAACGTTCGTTGACATCAAATTATGTCGTATCTCAAGTATATAGTCTGCTGTATAGTTGTACCTTCAAATGCTTATACATTTTCTGTTTGGTGTTGTTTACGCGAATAACTTCAACATAAAGGATGGATACTATTTCAAGTTAAACTTTTAAGAAGAAAACGTTTGACTTACCGTCGTTCACATGTATTTTCATCTTTAGTGGACTAGTGAAGAATAGTGGGGTTTGTTCAGTTTTGTTGTGCAATTGTCAGCACCATTCAGTTGTGTTTATATTGATTTGTTAGCACCACCCTACCGATTCACTGAGGCCCTGTGCTAAAAGTTGGCTGAGTTCCTTTTCAGGGGTTAGGACTGGTTTAGTTATACACAGCTTCACTGTAAAACTTACACATACCCCAATATAGACGTTTTTCGTTGGTGCCACCGTCTTGTGAACGAGTGGTGCTTTCCTGGTCTGGCAACCCATCTGGCATGCGGGAAGCTCGCTGTTCCCATAGAAAGTAAGCGCGCGGCTGCGGTTTTATTGTTCGTCTTTAGTTTTTACGTGGTGAATTTGGACTGAAGTGATGCAGCTTCTTTAGAACGTTAATCTATGAGACGTTATGATAGGGTTTAAGCCTTTGAGGGTCAACTGTTTTATTTTACAGTGATGCGAACGAGTCTGCCTATGTTGATGCAATATATCGACAGCACTGACTTTCTGCTCGATGCACGGTGCAAGAATACTTTAGGTGAGCGAACGCTGATACTATCTGCTACCCAAGAATGTTCTGCTTCGCTAGGAGACTGGGAGATGGCGCGACAAACTTTGTCCCGGTAAGGTCTCTAGATAAAACATGTTTCCCAGGTAGCATCACTCATTGTTAACGAGCCGTCCTCTTCAACCTCTCGCTTACCCCTCCGTTTTTCTGAAATCCGGGTTTGTAATTGGTGCACTCCTTGCACGTGATTTTGCAAGTAGCTGGTGGTGTTATTTATTATTATGAAAAAGGTTACAAACGAGTATGCATTCACATATGGCTGCAGCTGGATTATCGCCGTGACCAAAGACGAAATCGTAGCCAGGACACAGACTGATGAGGAGCAGCGCTTTAGTTGGCGCCGAGTCGGCCAAGATGGTTTTGCGGTGCTCGTTCAATGCAGTATACGAGTTTTTCAACAATGCATGGTTGCCGTAAAGCAACGAAAAACAATTTCGCTTTCTTCGACGTACCTTGTACTATCCGAAATAAAGCACGCCGTGAAGTATAGCTTTGAAACACTTCACGTGAACGCTTTCGTGTAAAGGCTGGTGCACACCGGCGACTAGCAGCGGTCGCGCGACCATTTGCGATTGCGACCAAAGAGCGACTGATGTTCACAACGGCAGAGGCTGCATGCGAGTGACCATAGAGTTACCCACAATACTTACTAGAAGGAACTCTGGCCCTAGTGTCTATGGGAACTGCAACGCACGGCGCTTCAGCGAGCATGGGAATGATGGGTAGTACACACATTTGTCTAATATTCGTACTTCTGGCCTGCCTTTGGCTCCGTGTGTGTTCGTGGGATTGGAGCTGTTTTCTTACGTAACAAGTATTAGCAAATATTCAGCGGTTGCGCTTCACCATTTTATTTTTGTAGACTTACTTTCCAAATTGGCTTACGAAGTTCAAAAGCATTCAGTCTTTCTTTCAAAACAAAACCAAAACACAGCAATAAACGAAGCCGCAAGTACGATTCGCAACCCGCAAGTACGAAGACTTGGCAAATGTGTGTACTACCCATCATTCCCATGGTCGTTGAACTATCGCAGCGCCGGAGTGCCATCTAGTTTATTTTGAGAAACTCTATGCAAGCGACCAGTGGTGCGATTATATACAAATTCCAAATCCGGACAAAGGCGATCTGTTCCATTGAGTCGCACGCGATTGGCCTATACGAGCCGTGACGAATGCTGTGACGTTCTGAGTGACGTGGGCTTGGGTGTCACGTGACTGTTTTTGTCCGATTTTCGGAGGAAGGCGAAGGAACGGTCGGCGAGACCGTTCGAAAGGAACTGGATGGTTTGAAATGGCTGCAAGGTGGCCTGGATTGGATTAAAATGGAAGGGCTTCGCGACTTTTTAGCATCCGGGCACTTGGACAACATGGCGTTTCCCAGTGCCACGGTTTTTCGTCTCGCCTGTGCGGCAGCTGCAGCCAAGCAGAGACGACGAAACGAGGTTAAAGATGCATTTAAAAGGTTCACCAAAGAAGAGTTTCGGCAATATTCTCGTCTGTCCGAGCGAACAGTGTGTAGCTTGTGCGACGAACTTCTCCCTGTCACCGGATGCCAGCGAGCCAGTGGCCTTTCCACAGAGAGGAAAGTTTTGTGTCTGCAGCAATTTTTCGCGAGCGGTTGCTTCTAGAGGAGCGTTGGTCGCGAGGAGCGCATCGGCAAGTCTCAGCCGGCCGTGAGCAACACTATCCACGAGGTGACGCAGGCCATCATCACCGTGGCTGCTAGGAAAAAGCTGGCGGACTTCCCACTGACAACAGCTGCTAAGGATGAGGCAAAGGCGGAGTTTGTGCCACGCGGTTGCCTCCCAGGGGTGCTGGCGTGTGCCGATGGCACGTTGGTCACCACTCGCAAGCCAGAGGGATTCAGACTGGCCGACATGGCGAGCTTCATGTCCCGAAAGGGCTATTATGTCCTGAGCGTCATGATTGTAAGTACCGTTAGGATCCTTTCTTAGTCGCCCTTCGCAGCAATTGTTCAGTTTTGACGCCAAAGCTAGAAAAGTAATAATGCAACCAATGAAAAAGAACCTGCAGGGAATTGGGTGCGAGCTAGTTGGTGGCTCGCAAGGCCTCGGTAATAATAAGTGGCAAGTGTTTTGTACGTGAGCCAGTTGCCGTTTTTGCACTGGCATGCATGCGCAATTGAGTTGTGCATTTTAGAAGTAATCGGTAATATGGGCAGCAGACGTAGCAGAAATATATACACAACAGGGAAGTATTTCCAACACGAAAGTGCTTACAATCACAATTGCACGAGCTGGCCTTGACATTTACGAGTGTTCTTTCCCAAGAGCAACGCGTAGGTTTTCACTTACCGATCATTCAGTGGAAGTCGTTGCCTTGTGTACAGAAGAGGTGGGGTCGTTGCCCTCACCCTCCCCCCTCCTCAGTGTGCTACACCCTGTGTTTCCTTCTAAGTGAAGCTCCTCGTACCAATCACTGTACTAGTACCCATTGTTTCCTGCGTATGCGTAGAAAAAAGGGATTTATTCTGAGTATAAATTCAGTACTATTTTATATCGCTCCTCATCGCAGATGTGCAATGCATGGTTTGCATCCTTGTCATGAACCCATGATTCCCAGATTCGTGCCACGACTCCTGGGTGTGGGAACACAACCCACTGCGTGCACGCCTAGCTGCTCATCTGCAGCCTGGCGAATATCTGCTTGGTAAATAATGATGCCTACTATCTGGGCAGAGCCCTCAGCTTTTATGCTTATATTGCAGGAGACGCAGGCTATCCCCTCAAGCCATGGCTCCTAATTCCAGTCCTTGGCAGTCAACCGTGCAACACTTCCGAAGGCCGATACAACAAGGAGCACGCATCCATGCACAATGTTGTGTAAAAATGTATCGCCGTGTTGAAGAGCAAGTTCCGCTGCTTGCAGCACATTCGAACGATGCTCTACAACCCCGATTGGGCAGCGCAAATCATCTATGCTAGCTTTGCTCTCCACAACATTGCGTTGCATGCAGGCGACTGGACCTTGGACGAGTATGTTGTGGACATGCCACCAGCTGAGGATGACGATGGGGAGCCAAGGGGGAGCCATATGCTCACACCATGCAACGTGCTGCTCAGAGACGGCAGCAGCACAGCGCTGTCTTGGACCTTTTTTGAAGTACTCAAGAACGGTGAGTTTTCAAGTTTTGATATCCCACACATAATTTATTTACACTGATTATAGTGCATCTAGACATGACAGGGCTGTGTTTGCCACATTTGAATACACAAAGTACTTACTCGTGCTTCAATATGAGGCAAAGTGGCAATGTCAAAATGCTGCATTTTCTTTAAATGGCCATTGAAATATGCAACAGAAACACCCTTTTCCATATCAGTGATCACAGTCCCAACAGACTAGATTGGAGCAAGCATATATGAGCGGCACTCTGTGCTGAATGTTGCTATCACAAAATTGTGCGAACAATGCAGCAACGTCTCAGAATTTATTTCATCAGAACGCATAAAAATCGCGATTTAATTAGTGACATGTTGCATGAACACATGATACATAAGTCCATATCTTCTTATAGTGACTGACTACAAGCATTCAATTGTGCATGCCAGGCTTGACGAGCAATTGTGCTCGTCAAGTTGTGCTGGTTTTTTTATCATTGTCCTAAAGATTGTATAAATGTTAAAATAACATTTCATTTGAATTCTTGACTGCAGTCATGCTGCAATGCTAAAAAATACGTAAATCAAGACTGCAAACAAAAGGCGAGTTGTTTTGATAACATACAGCATGAATAATTCGCTCAGCCTTCTCGTTGCTCCCAAACCAAAGAACGTTCAAAATTTATTCCCGCAACGAGTCGTTTACAATGAGAACTAGATGAAATCAATCGCTGGCATGTGGCTGTGATGATGACCATTTTCATTTGTGAAACTGTGCAAGATGACCACTTACTAGCTTAGCGCTCTCAAACAAGATTCAGAATGTAGTTGTTGCACCTTAGTCTCATTGTGCTGAAATGAAAATATCACAGTGAACTGCAAAACAGTGTGATGCAAAAAGATATCACATTACTACACTATGTGGCAATGCTGCATAAAAAGCACAGTGAGTTAGAAAACACAGTGGGACAAAACAAATATCACAGAAACATTAACAGAAAATGTCAACTATACACTCGTGGTCTCCGTGTGAATGACTAGACACCTTTGAAATATGGGAAAAACACTGCCACTGGAAAAGCTCGAAAATACATTGAGAAATGCATATAT